TTATATAATAAGACCTTTTTATAAAATCAGGTCTTAACAGTATATAATACTAATCGCATAGCCGGCTATGCGGGTATGAGTCGCTGGACGAATGCGGGCTTGCTGTCACAATCTCGCTTATAACATGCATTCCAGATCAAAGCTATAAAGTTACCAGAGACCTGGAACCTTTATCCGTTGACAGTTAGCAGTTAAAACGGCTGGAACGGTTATCGATATAACCTTAGGTAAAACGCTAAGATAAATCCGGATGGATTATTGAGCCTTGCATATGTGGAATTCCATTACTGTAGTTTAAGCTAGAATTCTAATTGGCTGTCACAAGCGAAAACGGATATCTTGGATGATAAGGTGGTTGCTACAGGTTTAGCTTGAGACCCTGAATAACACAACGTTATTTATGTGTCTCGAGCGCTGGAAATGCCTCACAACAAAATACTGTGCCAAGCAATCGATTGAGAAGCTGTGCTGGGTTAAGCGCTCAGCCATAAGTCTCAACGGTTGCGTTACTGTAGGGGTAGCTTTGAACAGGAATGTGATTACTCCGGATGGGAGCAGCACACATAATGACAGTCATGCGCTGTCTTGTTTATAAAGCTTGATGTATTTAAACCAAACTAAACGTCCTGTCTTCCCCATCGTCGTTTACCTCTATATTTCCTTCTCAATCAGCCCTTTTATTTAATTCCTTATCTCATTATGCGCCTAACTTCAGGCCTCCTCTTGGCCAGCGTCTCCAGTGCGTTTGGCCAGTTTACAAGGTTCACCAACTCCAGTACCTCTGCTGTTAAAAGCTCAACCTCTTCTACTTCTTATTCTATCCCTACTACTGCTACTACTACTGGGACCACCAACCGCCTTTCAAGCTCTAGCAGCACTAAGAGCACCAATATCATCGTGAGCATCAGTAGCTTCGAGACCACCACCAGCATCGAGACCAGCACTACTACTTCCCCATCAAACGTTGCATCATTTGAACTCGATCTACGAAGCGCCGTATTGGGCCCAGGTGCTTCGTTTTACCCGCCACCTGATGGCGCCAGTATGTACGTATTACTCATAAGCCACCAGAGTAACCAAAGTGATTCTAACATGATAAAAATTTAGCCTCATGTCTCCCGTGGCCGCTGTCTCTACCCTCAATCGGCGCCAGATCCCTAAGCCCATCAACTGGCCTTTCTCAATCGCAACTGATTACAATACTTCGTATGTCGATTTTAAAACCAAGTTTGTTCCTGAGGTCGCTTCTGCTTTGGGTATAGGAGCCCCGCGTATCGCTATCACAAATGTCATATCCGTCACCGGAGGACGCAGAAAGCGGGCTGAGTCTGTCCCTTGTGTTTTTGAAATCTTCGCCGATGGTGAGGTTGTCCTTGCTGTCCCAATAACTGGGAGCTCTGGCAATTTGATAATATCCACCAACCCTCTTCCCCCGAAGGATGAATTTGATTTTGTATTCCGACAATCTTGTAACGGTGAAAATGTTGAATTACTCCTTCAGGGACTTGCTGTCAAGAATGGTCAGGGTGCAGTCTCAACCCCTATCCCTTCGATTAACCTTGGTACCCCTACTGGTACTTCTATAACCAATAGTGTTAAATTTACGACTAACTCCGAGGGGGAGACTATCTTTCCTACTCAAACTACTCCTGCTACCAGTAGTAAGACTGCTACTACCCTGTCTAGTGGAGAGATTGTCTTGACTACTGGGGCTGCTACTGGTACTAATAGTGGAAGTTTTACGACCAATTCAGAAGGCGAGACTATCTTCCCTACTGAGATTGCCACCGAGGTTAGCAGTGCAGATGGTTCTACCAACTTGGAGGGCGGAACTACAGGAACGGCTACTGGTACCTCTCCTTCTGTAACTGCTACCTTGCCTGCTGGATTTCCCGGTGAGGTCGGCGATTTTACTCTCTTTGGATGTGTTGCTTCTAGTGCTGGCTTCCCTACCTTTACTCTCGCTCAATCTAACCCCGAGATGGACCTGGATATTTGTGCTACTCTTTGTGCTGGTCGGACTTACTTTGGCGTATATGATACGTAAGTTTTATCCATATACTCCAAGTCCTGGCTATTGACTCGTATAGTTCTTGTTACTGTGGTGATGAGGTCGGTTCTGCTACTAGCCGGGTCCCCCTCGACCAGTGCGATATCGAGTGTCCTGGAGACAACACCCAGTTCTGTGGAGGTGAATCTGACTCTAAGCTTCGGATTCGCCAAGATATATCCAGCAATATTCTTCTTACTATCTACGTCGCTCTCGAGGCTGGCGTTACTCTTACCGAGTCTGTTACCCGAACAGCGACAGATCAGAGGACCATTGTCACTACTCTTACCACCACTGTCACTAATGCTGGAGCTTCAAGCATAGCTACCGATGTTATCACCGCCACACTGGTATGCTCTGCCGGAAAGTGCCATTCGACTAACTCTGCTACTGTCTACGTCATGATCGAAATCAACGGCAGTGACTGTGACGGTCAATGGGTCTATATCTCTGAACCGTGCTCCTGCGCTGGTGGTCAGAGGTATATTCCTAAATTCTGTTCCGCAGGCAGCTGTGACAGTATTACGGTTTACAAACCGCAGCAATGCCCTGACTGGTATAACTATAACTCGTTCTTTGTGCCAACGGATACAGGTTGCAGCACTTGCCCCAGTGGTAAGATTGTATATCAGCCATGGGAACATTCTTGGGGTACCCCTGATAATTGCAATGATGCGGTACCTACTTGTGGCGGATACGACTGCCCCTTTCAGCACATCGTTGTTAGACCTAATCAGGGGGTGAACTGGAATGCGACTACTCCTCACGGGGCCTCTGGCGGAGGGTCCAAGTCTAGTTCTAATAACGGTAACAGCGGCAACTCTCAGGGTGGCTCCAGTTCTGGTTCTAATAACGGAGGTTCCATCCCCGGTTCTAACAGAGAGTCTGGTGGTGGATCTGAGACTAGCCCCAATGGCACCCCTAATGGTGGCTTAAAGGACAGTTCCGGTTCTGGTACGCAAGGAGAATCTCAGAGCTTTAATATTCCTGGCGCCAAGGGATCTTACCCTAGTACTGTTCCTGTTATTAGCAGTGCTAGTGCTAATGTCTTTAGGATGATTTCTCTTCTTGCTGTACTTGCAGCCCTTCTCTAGCTTTAGCAATTCCTATTATTTAGTATCTTATATTATTAAATAATTATCTTACCTTTAATTAAGGAAAAGCAAGCTATTTAAACTTCGAGCTAGACCCTTCAATAGTGTTTTAAAGCTAATATATAAACTGAGAATAAAAATGTATTAAGCTATTAATAAGACTTATAGGGATATCACGCTATAATACTTACTAGCCAATAAGCCCAGCAGGGTTCAGGCAGAAAACGACGCTATTAGATTAAATAACTTGTATTGGGACTTTGGAATAAATCTCATGATTAGTTAAACGCCTTAGATCCAAAGACCCTTTGATACTGCTTGTCTGTCTGTTTGTCAGGATATTCGGTGGCTGGGGAGGCAGCCGAGTCAAATCCGACAGATTTGACAGCGAACACTCTCCACTTACAAGGGCTGAGCTAGGCAGAACGCCCTCCGCCTGCACTAAAATAGGCACACGATGCATATCTGAGCGGAAGGATTCATGTTGCTGACATTAGAAAAACGAGAATAAAGATACAATAATAACCACCAAGAGACAGAGTGTCACACATAATATCACGATTCATTTAGCTATATGATGCCCTCAATCAATGCGCCCCCAATGGATTTCACCAGCGCTTCATACACAAATCTCTCCTCACCAGCCTCAATTCGTCTACTGTCATTCATCAAAAGACCACGGCAGCTTTCACCTCCTTCAATTCTCGGTGAACCTCTACTAGAATTCATCACAGAAACATTCGAAATACATGAGACTCCAGACTTTGATCTCATCTCTTCAACATGGGGAAACCCAGAGAGTGCTGATCCAGGCGATATCGATGAATACGGACCAATGCATCTCTATCCCGTCACCATCGACGGAAAACTAATGTTTCTTCCAAGAAACATTTATGAAGCTCTTAAGATGGCTCACAAAGTCAACGATCCCGTTGAGAAGCGCAATGAGCTTTTCTTGGAGACGGAGTTGATGACAGCCGTGGAAAATAACCATCGACCCAAGGTTCAACAGTTGTTGGAGCAAGGTGCTCACATTCATGCGCAGGATTGTTTTGGCAAGACGGCGATACATCACGCAGCGCAACTTGGTCATTTTGACATCATCAACATGCTTCTCGACTATGGAGCCAGTATGAGAGTAATCGACTCGTACGGCAAAACACCGATGGATTACATTACGTACAACAAGCCAAAGGATTGGGAGAACATTGAGGAGATTGCGTACAAGATGCAAAAGACGCCAGAGGAGAGAGAATTGGCGGCTGTTCCTGAAGTTATCAGGGTTGGGAGACCGATGTGGATTGATGCAATTTGCATCGATCAGAACAATCCGGAGGAGCGGACGAATCATGGCCTTCTGATTAAACATATTTACCGCCGTGCTAGCTCTGTCATAGCATGGGTTGGAGTTCAGAGCGACGAAACGAAGCTTGCGCCCGATGCCATCTTATCAACCCTTCGAGCTGATGGCAAAGACCCGGATGAGACCATGTCCGATGATACTCCTTCTACCACAAACGTTGGATGCTCATACATTCCCTCCAAGGAGCAAAAGTCGTCTATCATCAGATTTCTACAACGATCTTGGTTTGAGCGGGAAGAACTTATGCATGAGGTTGCTTTCGGACGAGCAATCACTGTTTACTGCGGCATGGATGCGCTTCCGTTCTCATCTATAATGGAATTTCTCAGACGAGAGGCATACAGTGGTACCTTTCTGCCTTCTGACCTTCATGTGTGGTCTTTGCTTGGGAGTCCGGGTTCGAAGAAGCGACGTTCACTTGAGTTAAGATCAAGGACAAAGAGGGTTCGACGAGATTCGATTGATGAATGATTTATTGGGTTCAAAGTTCAGCAGGCTGAGTTTTCCTACTATTTCCTTGTGTCATACTTCGCAACTTAGACTGTTCTTATGAAGTAACGAATCTGCTATTTCATCTTCGTCGCCGTCCAAAACAAATTCTGTCAGTGGTTTCATACGGAAAACTCGTAAGCAAACGCCGTAGCATTTGTAGGTGGGTTGACAGAAAGTATCAGCTATGACTCAAAGTTAGTTCGGCTACTAAACTTGAGGTAAAGGTCTGTGTTTAAAGCAGAGTTCAAGTAGAGGGGCTGCTCACCGTATTGGCCGAATAAGTATACTTCTTCTCCCCCAGATCAACAGGCCCATCTACCTTGCCATTCGGCCCCGCCCAGTCGAACCGATACGTTCGGACCTTCACCGTGCCCTTCTTGGGGAGTCCTACTGCTCCTAGACCGCTGATTTTGATGTCATACTTTGCCTGAACGGTCCTGGTGCCAGCTAAGATCTTGATTTTATGGCCTTGCTTAGTGGCAAAGATATCAAACTTTAAATCCAGCGATGCTTTCGTCAAGAGTCTCTGTCCTGTCATGGCAGCATAATACTTGTATACTTGCCATTCACCATTGGGATAGTAAGTCCCTTCAGAGGTGCCGGTGGTGCTGTAAACCAAGTTGCCCATCCAGTTGTGCAGATCAGATCCGCTACCCCAGTTCGCCCGTAGACCTCTGAGGTTATGACGCTCTAGTTGAGCAAGGTAGTAGACTGAGTTGGCTGGATTCTGCTCATCGCGTGCAGCGTACTCGTTGACATCAATGGGCTTCTCAGGCACGCCGTATTGCGCTCGGAGGATCGTAAAATCGGGGATGGTGCTATCAGGCTCACGCTCCCAAGCGCCAATCTGATGCCAGGAGAAAATATCAGGGACTGTCTTGTTGCCTGCTACTGATTGTAGCCAGGTGTGCCATTTGTCATCGGACAGAATTGGAGAATGTGCCATGGCTGGGCCACTAAGAAGAGTTTTGGGGAGTGCTTTTCTAATTCGAACAGTCAGCTCTCTGGAAGGCATATGCATCGCTGGAGGACTTACCGCAGGAGTTTGGTCGCACGATTATAATACTCAAGAAACTGCGGCCACGAGCGATCCCAAAAGATATCAATATCAGGCTCATTCCAAACATCAATCACAAGACCTTCAAGCATGTTATAGGTCTTCAAGTCAGAAACAAGCTGATTCCAGAATAGCTCCATCTCAGTCCAGTTACCATTGTCCCCAGGAAACGGGGAGTTTGAACCCTGTCCGCCATCCGCACCCCAGAGATCATGAGGCAGCAAGATAAAGTCAGCGTTATACTTGCGCGTGGTGCGGTAATTGGAAAGAGTAGAGTTGAAACGGCCCAGGTATCCTTCATAGCCGCCTCTGGCCCAACCCAGCGATGGGATTTGGGCACCACCGCCGCGGTTTGAGTTAAATTTGATGTCAGTGACCAAATAATCTGGTATGGAAGTGTCGACGCTTGTTCCGTTGTCAGGCCAGCCGTAGATAAAGCCTGATCCTAAGGCTTTCGCCGGTCCATGGTTCTTGGAGAGGTCGACAGATGCTGTGCCTTGCTGTGCAGCGACGTTGGTGGCCAGAGCCAGCACCAAAGTGGTGAGAGTGGCGTGGCGCATTTTGGACAAAGATTTTTTTGAAAGCTATATCTCAGGCCAAGATGAAAAGGACCATGGTAGTTCTATCTGATGCCACCTGCGGCGCGTTGTACGCTACTTATCATTTCTATTCCCCAGTTGGTAGTCTTGGCTCTATGCCATTACAAGGTACAGAGATCGTACAATTCCCCCCGCCGGGACGCAGATCCCCCGCAGGAGCTCCTAAACAGGTAATATCAGGGTCAAGGACATGAGAACGAACTACCGATTGAATTTGCTCCGGTGGGACAGGCTAAATACATCATGTAAGTTTGAAAGTATGCTTAAATCTAAGGGGTGATGTCTCGGCCTACCTCGGGAGCCTTCACTAGCGACACTACCTCTACTCAAGCTCTATCAGACTATTCATCTTGACTCTCTGAGGGTATCACAATCTACTCTCTTTTAGATATGAGTTTCAACGTGATACAGGTTGGATGTTGATCGAACTTAAACCAGATCTGACTTTTAACAAACTATAAAAAGTCTTCCGGCTAAAGAGCACGATCCTTCACAAGAGAAATCAGGTTACATGCAAAGGTTACCTTGCTCTTTAGCAATACCGAGTCAGATGCTGTTGGCAATGACTGGGATTCCCCGCATGATCTGCTCTATGCCGTGCATGCGCACCTATTGCAGACCCTGGTCTAAAGACTTGGCATGGCTATTGACCCGGCATGATTGATGGACATGAGATTGAAGTCAAGATATCAGTGTACGATTGGTAAAACACGGCGATACTTCTTTATTTGCTTGTTGATATGACTGTTGCTCATGCATTATATTTACCTTCCAGTCTAAGCTCCATGTTATGGGCGTCTCAGCATCGTGATAGCTTGTGGATCACGACATTATACTGCCCCATAGTAGGCATGCCTTCGGCTGGTTAATGACTCTGCATGTCGATATGGCAATGGATATAATTATTCTATTGTAAATTTAGCATTTAGCATTTAGCATCTAATAAGCGAGGTAATAAGTTCTGTGGGTGTTTTTTCCTACAATATCCAGTTACTGCAGGGTAGCAAGCAGGGATACCAACAAGACATACAAAGGCCGGCTCCTCATCTCTCTAAATCGGGTAGGCTGTTTCATCCGCCTCACTTTTCAACGTCACTTCATTCTTCCAATTACACTCTAGTAATAAAAATACCAGCTCTCTGTTATATGCGTCTTCGCAAGGAGTTTTAGAGTCCCAGGTGGGTAAATGGTAGATTGAGAGGAATTCCTGCTGCATCGCGCTGGCTTGGCATGCATGATTGCGAATTAAAGAAAATGGTGAGATGGAAAACAGTTCATTGCTAATCTCAGAAATTCGCTATCCTAGAATCTATGTTTGCTCAGTGGTCATCACAACCCGCGTCTGCTTCAAGATGTACTTCTGACTATCTCCATCATCAATACTCTGCCTAATCTTATCATCATTGCCATAACCCACTCGTGTTGTCATGCCCGATCGAAAGTCATTCAACTCCAAACTCGACTTTTGGTTGTCAGAAACAATTCGTGTATGTTTGTTGCCAGAGACATGAGGTGGGTTCATTCGACTCGAGATTCCATTGGAGCCGGTGTTGCTGGCGTAAGTGCTGCGGAACATGGGGAGGTTGAGAAGTGGACGAAGAGCAGGCATTGATCCAGCGATGATTCCGATGCCCTCTTCGACAATAGACCAGAGGCCGATTGCACCGGTGCTGTACATGAATTCTTCGGGGTTGTTGTAGAGTGTGAGGTAGCCGAGGCGGACGACGGTTGCGCAACTGGCACTACAAGATGTTAGCTTTGCCAGCAGGATCTCATGCGTAACTTACAAAGCACCAAGTCCAAGCATGACAATGACCGGGAGCTTGACCCTGTTCTTCATCTGGATGTTCCACAGCAAGAGACCAGGAAGAATAGCCAATGTCCAATCTACTATGATCGACACAGCAGAGAAGTAGAACCCGACACTACTGTTGAGCTTCGTGTTGCAGTATCCATGCGTTGTTTCTCCCCAGAGAGTTGTGATCGGATGACAGATGTTGGCTGTGGCGAGGATAAAGATGATGGCGGTGATGACAGTCATGGCGATGAGACCCCATAGAGTCCAGACGAATCGACGGCGTGCATCGCAAATTCGGAGCATGGTGACGCAGATACTGGCTTTGATCGGGACGGAGCAGGCGGAGTAGAAGAATTGAGCGATGAAGAAGAGCTGGGACGCGATGCGTTAGCGAGTGCACGATGACTACTGTAAAGTCACGTACCTTTGTTCCCATCATAACATCCTTTGCTTCGATGGCATCTCTATGTTGACCTGCTCCGTGGAAACAGCACGTAATAACCAGCGCAGCCGTAACCGTATACAGAATCTATTTCTCGTCAGTCCCAATCTTCAAAGTCCGCCAAAATACATACCAAGCCCCCAAACATCAGCCAATCATCCAACCCAAGATTGTTCTTCCATTTTCGAACTCCCAGCCGCGCGCTAAGAAATATCCACGATAGGATGAGCATCACAATAGTGATCCATAGAAGGGGCACGCCCTCACCGGCTACAGGAGCCATACTGGTGATTCAAGGCGAACGATGAAAAAGGGAAATAAACAAAGGAACAAACAACAAGGTAAGGGACGATTTCGAGATCTCTATCTGCCAGATTTAATATCAAGCGGCATAACCCAACGTCCCGGAAATTTTGGGCCGCTACCCATGCCCCTAGCCCCTCAGGAAAACCTGCATACGCAGCGTCGTGACATAAACACTCTGAAGAGGCCCACTAGAATATCCCCCTGTGCATGTTTAGTTATTTCTCGCGTTCGTTTCTGAGGCTCGTTCATTTTCGGATACCCCAGCTAGCGTACCGGTTCTAACATAGAGGGCCAATTAGAGGACGGGTCCTGAGTGATGACGAACTCGAATCAACGGTTGTCTCAAAAGTTTTAGTTCAATAATTGCGGAGCATTTTGACCGCGAATGGCTCCGAGGCTAAGATATTGGCTGCTTTTTCTGGAACGTCCACTTTATCCCCGGGCGGCCCGCACGTCCTAGTGTTCTTTCGTCAGCCTCATATTAGATTGTGTTTTGGTCTGCGGATGATCGACTGGTGTCCGAAGCCAAGAGATAGTCATGTTCAAAGCGTAAATCAGAAAAATATATGCAAGCAAAGACATCTTCTGGTCTCCATGTCCTCCTCGTATTGATCTGTTACATCAGGGCCGATCAGATCCTTCTGCAGAGATCCATTTCCGACAGAACCAACACCCCGGGCGACTTTCTCCGTTTATTCCACCAAGAGAACCAGTGGCAAATGAGCATTTCAAAACACGTGATCGCGTACATGCCCAGGAAATATGGATACCAAGCATGGGTTATGAGATCTAGTCCTCGACTAGACTCGGGACTACAGAGCAGAAACAATAGTTTACCCACCAACGGTTAATGCAAGATGAGGAACTCGTACGACTTGCGGGAGTTGCTGCGGATTCCCCGGTTCCACCGAGGACCCTGAATCGGTGTGGACGAAAAGGCCAATGTAACTTTTCGTATTTTAGTCAGGACCACTGCTGCTGTTTCTCTTCACCGCGTCTTTCTGCTTCTTTCACGTTTCAAGAATAACATAATGGCTGAGTTTACCATCGACGATCAGAAGCTGGAGGCCCTCAAGGGCAAGGTTGTCATTGTGACTGGTATACAACGCCCCCCTACACGACCAGCGGAACACGAGCTAATGAATCCTTGATAGGAGGATCTTCCGGTATTGGTTTATCCACTGTTGACTTGCTTTTGTCGCTTGGCGCCTCGGTAGTCAGCGGTGATGTGCAGCCTCCCCCGGAGGAGCACAAGGGATCATTTACCTTTGTCAAGACCGATGTTTCAGTCTGGGGTGATTTGATTGCGCTGTTCAAGAAGGCCAAGGAGGTTTATGGTCGTATTGACCATGTTTTCGCGAATGCTGGTATCGGACCTAGGACGGATTACTTGGCTACTGAGGTTGATGAGAATGGTGACTTGAAGGAGCCTTCGCATCAACTTCTTGACATTAGCCTGAAGGGAGTCATCAACACTTCGACGCTGGCTATTAACTATCTGAGACAACAGCCTGAGGGAGGTAGCATTCTCATTAGTGGCTCGACGACTGGTCTGCAGCGTGTTCGAGCTGTGGATTACTGTAAGTTACCTAAGCCCCAACGTCATTGTGTTTTACTAACATCCCTAGCCACCGCTAAACACGGTGTTCTGGGCTGGGGACGCGGTCTCGTGCCCCTGCTCGCCGCAGCTCAACTTCCTATCCGCGTTAATACACTGGCACCTAGCTGGACAGACAGCAGTGTCTTGCCATCGCTCAAGGCTCTTCTTGATGCTATCAACGTTGAGCTGCAGCCTGCTTCTGTTGTCGCACGTTGCGCCGCTTTCCTTATGGCTGATTCGTCCAAGAACGGACAGCTTGTGCATATTGAGCGTGGAAAATACGCCGAGATTGATGAGGCCGTTTTGTTGCCGACTTTTGGGAAGATTAAGAGCGATGATTATCCTTGGGAGGACGATGTTTTGGACCGTCTCTCAAAGCTCGGTTAGAGTATGTCGTGGATGATTTGGTTGTTATTTAGCGAGTTAAATCAGTTTATTAAATTGAAAGCGGCTACAATTCCCTACTGAGCGTTATAAGCGCAAAAGCCCTCAGATCTTGCCTTGCTTTCGGTATTTGTCCACCCGGTTCAAGATCTCTTGGCAATCATTCCAGATTCTGCGTCGATTCTGCAGCCCGGGCATGATTTTCCAATTCTTCGACACCTCCATTTGAAGACGGAGCCAGTCTGTTTCACCTTTGCCGAGTATCTTGACTGGATGAGGAGTTGTACTAATGCTACCCCCGCGTCCCATCACTTGCTCGATCTCTGCCTGAGTTGTAGTCGCCCAGAAAGAGATACGCAACGACGACCATGCCTCGTATAACCAAGGAGTGTCTCGAACTGTCAACTCATATAAAACCGTGTTCGGCAGATGCAGAAACACGCGAGAAGTAAGTCGCAGGTTGGCAAGGTCCTTGAAACTGAGATGGACGAGGATCTCACGAATCATTTCGCTAGGGAGCTTTGAAAATGGGTCGGAAGGGGCTGGTTCTGTTGACACGGTAGTTCCAAAAGGACTAGACTCATTCCCAAGGGTATGTTCCACGCTCTGTGTCGAATGCAGGAGATCGTCTAGTCCAGGAACGAAGCAAGGGTTGGCCACTAGGAATTCTCCTCCGCGTTCATGACTCCACCACTGTTCCGCAGCCTGTTTAACAGCAGGATGACGAGGAAAACCATGGAAATCTTCGTACTCTGGTTCAAGACGCCACCACTTCATCAAGCATTCAACATCGACGCTTCCATATCGGTACAAAGAGGCTCGCTTGAATATCTCAAAGCAAGCTGGATGAAAGGGCATGCCGTACTCGTCCGCATCTTCAGCATCCCAAATGATGTTTTCAGCTCTGACATCGTCCATGTCATGACGCGCGGGAGAAACAGATGGCCAGCCAATATCTCGACTAGGCATATCGTCAGACAAACCGCTCAAGAAGAATTTGCCCGAAGTTTCGAACTCTTGATCGCCTCTTTCGGGCTGCCAATCATCGCCTTTTGGGACAAGACATTGAGATGTTTGGCAGTGCTTCATGGCCTCTGCAGAGATGCGATTTCCATTATAGGCTGCAGTCCAGTCGCATTCTGGCCCAGCGATGTGTTCCCATTCATCATCGGGCGTGTCCGATGTCCATCCATCGTCGGATGAATCTTCTGGTTCCATTTTGGGCGGGATATACTTGACTGTCTCCAGTGACGCAGCCCCAGGGTCTTGAACTCCATCTCTCTTCACGTAGTAGCATCCCCACCGCCCGTGACTGTTTTCAGGGTTCATCGCAAGGGTCTGATAACCCCAGGCTGCGCTTCGAGGCTCATTGTCTGTTCGAGAGCGGTTGATGTTGAAACTGACTCCACAAATGTGGCAGAGAACTTCAGAGTAGCCCATGATGCTTTAATCGATAAGTTGGGATGTTGTGAGCGGGCAGATTACGACTGCACGTTGAGTGGCATTTTTAAAGACCGCTAGTGCTGACTCTAGGCAGCAAGCCCCATCCTTCGCTCAGTGGCCTTGGCGTATAATTAGTGGATACCTAACACAGTGAGAGGATTAGAAGCCTTGCCAATACTTTTATTATTACTATAACAAGAGCTATTTACATATCAGCATTCCTGTAGTCTCTTTCACGGCTTTGAGCTCTTCCATAATGCCACCGTAGGTCCAATTTATCTTCTCAAACATGTACACTTCCTCCGCCGTCCTTTTGTTCTTTGCCTTTCTGGTATTATTCTGGATCTGGCTTGCCCGTGGTCTACGGACAGAATCAAAGTCTCTCAGCAGCTCAGGAACATGTTCACTGGTGACGCCATTCTGCAGAAACAGTCTGAAACCCTCTGCGTCTTCAACAGCCTGCGTTCCGCCCTGTCCTTGGTGAGGCGTCATCGCATGCGCCGCATCGCCAATCAAAACCGTCCGACCGCGAATGTAGGTTGGTAACGGGTCCTGGTCTCGAAGCTGCCAGAGTTTGATATTCTTTGCGATTCTATTGTTCAGGTCAGTTGGTGCTTCTGTACTACAATATTGGATGAAACAAGGGGCATCTTACCGCAAATAATCGTGCACCCAAGAGGGAAAGTCTGAGAACAGTGACATAAGCTCTTCCTCATCCCCAGATGCCGTCCAAGATTCTGTTGTCTTCTTCTTGAGGCTGCTGTCTGGAACGATGCACACAAAGTTGAACAGCTCAAAGTTCCGGCAGGGATACATAACAACAGATCGCATGCTGTTGTCGAATGAATACACCATGGACAAGCATGTAGGCTGGTCCGCTTGTAAGATTTCTGGTAGTCGCTTGAGAGCTGCTTTGATGTCGTCAAGCTCTAGTGTGAAACGAAAGGCTGATAAGCCAGATGGCCTCGCTGTCTGGAACGCAGCATCACCAACGACGTATGGCCTCACCATGGACTTGATGCCATCCGCAGCTGTCGCGCGTCAGTTTACTAGCTCAATTAGGCCATGCTTGAACAACTTACCAATTACGAGATCTGCCTTGACCTGTTCCCCTGATTCAAGTGTGATTCTGCCCTCTTCTGGATCGATGTCCATGACCTTCTGATCCCAAAGCACCTCAGCCGGTCTCCCTGGAATACCAGAAACACCAGTATCTTCAGTCGCCAGCCGGAGAAACTCGCCTCTTAGATCCGCCCGATGTTGAAAAAGCCAGTCGGCGCCATATTTCTCTACATAGCTATTTTTCTCATCAAGTTGCAGATGGCCCTCCTTCGTGAAGACCTTGGTAGCCGCAACGGGAAGCGACCCAGCTTTTGAACGGTCGAAACCAAGGGTGTCGAGAATCCGAACACCATTTGGACCGACATTAATAGCGGCACCAACCTCGATTGGTGAAGAGGACCGCTCGTACACTTTGACGTTGTGCTTCTCGCGTAGTACTCGGGCGGCTAAAAGGCCGGCGAGCCCGGCGCCAATGATGACCACGTCGAGGGGACTCTCCTGCATAGCCATGATCAAGGTTTGTTTTAACTTGGGAGAATCTGAATTGATTGGACTTTTTCTTTTTGCTTAGCTGCATAAAGTGCTACCATAGTCCCATGATAACTCCGTTTTCAAACCCTGGGTCCTCCAGTTTCCGCCTTCTTTGAGCCGGCATGTCTTCTCCACATGCCGACGCCGATATTCCCGTCCCGTATTCCCCACATCCCTATACTTCTGGGGTTACTGATCTTTACGAGTACGGGATCTCAGATAACCAGCCCCAGTGTCGATCGTTGATCATATGGACCAGAAGTGCATGCAACATGACCCTTTCGCTGAAGGTTAGATGCCGAGCCTTGATACCGAAGGATATCGCTGCGATTGTTTCTGGACGAGCTTTGACCTCTCGATTATACCATTCATTATGACTAAGCGGCTTACCAAAGTAGCTATCATCGGACGTTTACAACTAGAGACGTACGAACCGCATTATTCTGGACATTCTCAATGAAAGTCAAGGCGCTGGCAACACCAATGAACCATTTAGATTGGAAGAAGATCGAGAAAAGTTTAACCCTGCCCTCTTCATGTTATAGTATGCTTAGACTCAACTGGTATCTCTGCAAATCTCAATCAATGAGTCTCAAACTCCCCTGAGTCCTCGGGGTGGATATAGTGGGTTGGCCCTGGAGAGTCCCAAAGGTTCCAAGGGGATGACCTTGATAGAGTACTAGATCAATTGGTTTTAATGGCGGATCCTCCCATCAACCTGAAGCGCCGGTTCAGGGGAGCTCTTGCAGGAAAATAAGTAAAAGCAAAAGGCTTGTCATGAACGGGGGGTCCATAGAGTGCTGAAGATAACAGGGCTGATTGTGCTTCTAGATCAAATCTGAGACGCCCTTGCTTGGATCGTCTACCCTTCCATTTGCTGTCTATGCCGCTACTCGTTGCAGTTACCTACACTTGGGTTTAAAGAAGGTTCTTGACAGAAGCAGTGCCAGTTCAGCTCCCGTCCTTATCTGGGTAGTATTTGTAGTCATCTGGTCCGCCCGAATGCTTAGCTTCAGTACGATGCTTTGGCTTTTTCTCAAGTCGCCAGATGTGCTGTAGCTATATACCAACCCTGTCCTATTTACAGTCTCCCAATACAGGTTCCGTAATACTATGCATGCATGGGCCAACAGTTATCGGCTCCACGTTCTAATTCCTGCAGCTCAACTTCGGGGCTCCTTCACAACAGCCCTGCCCCTCTTTCACTGGGTATATTCGTCGGCTCCACATTGTAGATCTTGTAAGTTTGTCACTATGCATAGGCATCCGCCTGAGCCGAAGTCAGCTGATGGCTTGGCTATGAGTTGTTACATAAAACCAGCTCGTAATATCTCCTCTACCACCTCCTTCATTATGCAACCGAGCTACATTGATTGCACTTATATAGAAGCTTGGCAATCACCCACCATCATCATCCTGAATCATTATTGTCGCCTGAGTTACAACCTAGGCTTGCTCACACCATGATACCCCATATTAAGCAAATTGCTACTGGCAGGCGTAAGCCTAATATGACACGAAAAGAATTCTTTGACCATCGATTCCGCATCCACGGAAGTCTATCTGATGCTATAGAGGATAAGGACCAGAAACCTCAGTATGTCGACTTCCCACTAACCGACATGGTAATCCATGGATTTAGACGAAGTTGCTAAGCTCATACGTAGTAAGTACATCCAAACCCAGGTCTTTGACTCGGCCTTTGGATCCCGATCTGATGGTCCTCTGAACGCCAATCACAATTGGGTTGGAAGAGACGACACCACAGAACTCTTCTTCCGAGATTGGGATCATGTTCAGAAATGCTTTTCCAGCGACTATGTGAAAACAACTATTGCGCCAGACGGACCCTTCTTCGCAGATTTCGAAACGAGTGTTGTTCTCATGGCATATGAGAAGAACATTCCACTGCAAACCGCGGCTGCTGTAAAGCGAGCTGGGGCTGTGACAGGTGCTATGGATTCCGGCGACTCTACTGTTGCCATGTATTTCATATCCACACCAGATGACAGAAAGGACGGAGAAAGCTTGGAGCAGACGGTAACCCCTCGTTTGGTTGATGCAATCAACTCTTGCTGCCAGGATCAAGTCTGGGGACTGATTTGCAACGTCGGTGCTGTTTCTGACCAGTTCGACTTGAACTCTTATTTTGGCGGCGCAAGCATGCCCCAATATGCACTCGTCTATAAAATCTTTCTTGAAGGCCCTGAATCAGTTCCGCTGGTAAGGAAGGCCCAGGCAGAGCTTGAGAAGCACGTTGCAGACGAGGCCACTATCGACCTGCACAAATCCTTTATCCTGTTCTCACAAGAGGCTCTCGTTATGGATGTTGAAAAGGGAGTAAGGGTAAGGTATTCTCTATGTAGCCATCATAATCTTACTGACATGGGGTCCTACAGTTCAGCTACGATCGTCAGCCAGTTTTTGGAGGCCTCCCTGGTCCATCTCACCTTGACTAAGAGAGATAGAATGATGGAATAAATTTCATTTAATAATTATATATCATTAAAGAAATCTTATAGCGGGAATATTAGACGCAGGCCTGGATAGAAACCATCAACGTGAGCTACAGCTCCAGCGTTGTAGGCGTATGATCATTAGCTGAACGGACCTCCCTCTCAGTTGGGCTTTTCAGTTAGCCACTCTGAGAATGTAGCGCTGGGTTAAGTACTTTAGGCTGGCAGTGGACCTTTTTCATTGGCCGATTCATTCAGCGCTGCAGACAGAACCTCAGTGTCTCGTCTCATTGGAGGGTTCTTGGTGGCTTGCGGCTGAAGATTGAATCGCCAACGCGTTTTTCAATGCTCATTACGCGGGGTTCATTCCTGCAACTGCACAGATAATCGGTCAAATAAGAAGAAACATATCTACTCGCTTTCGCAATTGATAATGGCGCTACCTAGTGACGATACCGACGATGCACCCGTGTCCCTGTCCCAGCCAGCACCCGCCGGACCCATCCCCACTACAGCCTGGCATGCCTATTTCTCATACGGCATAGGGCATCTCGATTACAATGGTCTTGTAGAACAGCGAAATCCATGCACTAGATCACTTCGCCATCAGTGGAATGTCAAGAGCCAGTTCTTCTTACAGCCTCCTGCCGCCCAGGGAATGCCGCAATTGAGCTCCAACTATGAGATCAACGAAACCGCGACGTTTCCGTACCCAAAGGCTTATCAAGAGCTAATGGACCCGATACAACGACATGATGAAGAGCATGGAACTGTCGATGGCGAAACCTCACCTACACGACAGGCGCAGGCGGAGAGGATCGAGTGGAAGACGACCATTTCGACGCCTGTTTTCGGTATCGAGCGCACATCAGCTATTGAGTTTGAGTCGCGGATCCAACCAACATACGTTGTCTTGGGTTTGTTCCTCCGCGGTAATCCCAATCCGAAGGAGAGAGTTGTGTTCGTCGATAAGCCTGACCAGCTTTTTTCCAAGCTCCGCTGGGCGACTTTCCGACTACGTGGAATGAGAGGAACTCTTCTCTCGCTAAAACATTTAAAAGGCTTCAGAATATACAAGGTTTGTTCATATTTTTGAGTAGCTTTCTACTGATGCTGATGACTTAGTGCGATGCTGATACTGGGACGCATAAACACATCAACCTCGATGACAATGGAGTCGCTGACTTACAGCTGTTTATGAGTACCTATAGAAGATGGCATGTTCCTCGATATATATCCCTAGCCTGGTCAGACTGGATACACTGCACCTTGAATAACAAGAGACTTGATATACTCGAGGGCCAATATGGCCTTGAGCTGGTACTAGACTGGTCCGTCACGCGCATCTCGATCGTGGTACTCATTCCAGTCTTGCTGAGCTTGGCCATCGGCATTTGGCTGAACTCAAAGGCTTGGACCGATCTGGCAACGATACAGACTGCTTGGGGAACAGCTTCATACATCGTAACAGCTGGCGCTTGTAGGTCCTTGTTCATAGAACTCAATCTTTGCAGAACAAAAAGCTGACGTTCTAAAGTACTTGCTGCAATGTTGGGCTTTCTGGATATCGCGGATAAATAGCGGAAGGCCTGATTTGTCCTATCACATGTCGCTTTTGAGGCAACCACTTTATTTTCAGCTCATCCAGCCACTTTCAGTACTGCAGGTTAGAAATCAGGCCCCGGAGCTTTCGCCACTTGCGACAAATGATCTTGAGGGACTTTACAACACTACTGAAGTAGCGAGTTTATTCATCAATGTTATGATTGAGCTCTGAAGCTTTATATACTTTCTATCCAACATAGTATCCGAAACCTCACTCTGTGAGCTCATAGACTGTAGTGGGCGCTCATTCTTGCTAGAGCCTGATTCTTATCATGGCAAATATAAGTGTTGGTTGGTGTCCAGCTGGTATCGTGTTGCACTTTGTTTGGCAACGATACCACCCAACTGTAAAGGATTCCTGTAGAAGGCTGCAGAAGCGACAATGATCTGACCAGAATCAAGGATTCATCATCTCATTCGTCGCAGCATTTATCTATTTCGCGACATTTGCTCTGGAAATAAAGGACCATGATTCTCAGCCGCAATTCATTACATCTCGCTTTACCTGCATTCATTCTACCGATTTCTTTTTCGTCTCAGTCTAGACTTCCTTTCGCCTCTTAATCCGTACAGATATCATAAAATCTTCTTCAATGGATGCCTTCCCTCATATGTCCTCTCGCCAAAAAATCAGGTCAAGCGACGATGTATCCGCTTACGAGCCCTTCAACACCAGCCAGGAGCATCGCGGACTCGGTAATCCTATTCAGAGACGACTTTGCGACCTCTCAGAGATAGCAGCACTTATCTTGAGCTTCTGCTGCAGTATCGTTGGTATCATTTGTTGTTTCCATCCAGCGACTGCAGTGAGCTTGGAGCAAAAGTATCAGCTCATCGTCGTTGGATTGATGCTTTCTCTCATGGATCTCTGCACCGCCAGATTGTCAACTATCGTCTTTCTGCAACTCGAAACGCGATGGGCGAGCCTCCTCCAGAACTACGACTCGATCATCAAGAAGAGTATCTTGGGTAGCCTTCTGAACGGGCGGCGCGGGAGTCAGCGATGGACACTACTCCTCCCCGCATCTCTTGCGTTCCCATTACTTCTTAGTGTTGGATACAAGAGCTTCGTTGGTGGAAAGGTTACAACTCAAGTACACGCCAGTGGCGGCCAATATGGTCTGACTGGCCCTATTGGCTTTGCTAACTTTGCCTCTGGCGCGTCTCTCATGGTCAACGCTACCATCCCCTTCATGTTTACCAACGTAACCAAGTTACCCTCTAAACCACAACCGTTTGGTTTTAACATGCTCCTACTGACGGATGATACCATGAGAGTTGTCATGCTGGACGGACCAAGTCCATCTTACCTCAAGAGCATAAGGGCTTAGCTTCGGGGACAGCAGTCATACACCGTGTCTGCTAACGTCTTTGGCTTGGCTTGGCATCTCGACCAGGAAGCTGACAAGCAGCGCGACAATGATACGTGGTGGAACCAGCGTTTTGACTCAAGCGATGACGACGCGCCTCAGAACATATCTCTTTATAAAGAGAAAAAGTGGCTGTCGACCCTATGGCCTCAAGATCAAGTAGACCAGTTTTTCGTCCTTCTCACACCGCATGTCGGGCAATCGAAAGAACTTTGGAACATAAAACCCTCAAAGGCACGGTTTCAGAAGGAAGCGCTCGAGTTGACGAGCCAACGGCTTAAGTGCACCGGGAAGTGGAAGATCACTGCCAATTCGGTTAATCTTATCGAGGGCAGCTGCGCTGGAAGCTTTGTTAAAGCATTTCCTAAGAGCCGTAGTACTCTTCATCTGAATGATGCGAGATACTTGCTCAGCGACTTTGTCAGTGACCTGCTGACGGACAATCTGAATGAAGCAGCTCCGACAAGGTTCGCGGCCGTGGTGTCATCTCTTTTTTGGTCTCGACTAGCCGCCTTCTGTGACATTGGCTCGGCAGTTAACGATTTGAAAGCTGGAGAACGTGAGCAGTTCGAGTATGATCGGCCTGATAAAGCATGGAAGACTGTCACGGTACTCAAAAGGTCTCCATTACTTGCAATTGTTCTTCTCGCCCAGCCTATTGTCGGCTTGATACTTCTTATCATACGCAACGCGTTTTGTTCATCCCCTGTATCTGGGGGCTTTGGACTCATCAGTGTCTTGTCGGGGCATATGTTTGACGAGCGCGATATTCTTAGCGGCGTAGGGTTATCTGGAGATGTCAAGGAACGCATTGAGCTGGCTGTCGATGGGTGTGGCGACAGGTACGGCGGTAGAGGCGAGAGGGTACGCTTTCGGCTGAAGGAAGCAAGGAACTCGATGCATCATGATCGAATGGAGCTGAGGCCTGGAGTCAGCTATCACTGATCAAATAAGAGGGATATGCAGCAGGGATTCCAGAAACAGATTGTCTTGCGAAGTGTTTGCTTTTGAATGAGATTTCCTCGTTTCCTGTTTTATCACAAGGATATACAAGCGATAGCCACGCCTCGGGGGCAAGAAAATACCGAACTGATATAAGGTGTCAAAATAAA